TGCAGGACGGGGATGAGGAGAGTCCTAGCGCTGAGATCGGCCTCCTTGGAGCTGGCCGGCCGGTGCTCCCCAGATCAGCCCCCCACACTCCCCACCCCCGGCACCGGCAGGCGCCTCCTGAGCCAGCTCCTCGCACGGCCAGACCTCCCCTCCCTCCTCGCGCCGGCCTCGCTACCAAGGCAGGGGCCTCCCTGCCTCCCCAGGCGGACACGCCGCCATCAGACGTCTTTGTTTAGAGAGCTCTCCTGCCCGCCTTCCCGTGTGGAGCTGGCTGTTGTCTCTTCCTTTTTAATTTTTAAATTTTATATCATCTAATGAGTCTGTTACTCACTAAGAGTTCTGGAAAACCAGTCTCATGAACTTGAAACTGCACGCGGTGTTGGAATCACCTGCTTTATTTCCCGTCCTGACCTGGGGCTGGTCCCTGACCCAGCTGAAACCACTCTGGGGTTCTGCCTTGCTCATCCCAGGGTACTCAGGATAGATACGGGGAGGGCCCTCTGCTTCGGAGCAGCCCCTGCCCCCACCCTGGGGCAGTGCCTGCTGTCCCCTCATGTCCCTTCCTCAGCCGGACAACCCCCCACCCTGGGGCAGTGCCTGCTGTCCCCTCATGTCCCTTCCTCAGCCGGACAACCCCCCTGTAGAGGACAGTGCTGCCCACCTCCGGGTGGCCTGCAGCCCGTGGGGGAGGGAGGTGGGAGTTGTAGCCCCTGCTGGGGCCTGGAGGTGACTCAGGCAGCTCCTTCCTGACACTGTCCCGTCCCTCAGTCCCTGAAGTCTGCTCTGTGGCCCTCGTTAGGAGAGCTAAGCGAGAGCCCTCCCACCATCCAAGATCCCGGAAAGGATTTAAAGAGAAATTAGGATGGATCAATAGGCCAGAAATGTCTCTTTCTCGGAACGATGTAAAAATACTGAAAAATTGCAAGATCTGATTTGCACAGGCAGGGGAGTCTCCTGAACCTCTATTTCTATCCCCCTGCCCAAGATTAAATTGTTGATCAGCCTTTTATACGTTTGAGACATCTTTTGTAACATGTTTTCAAATTAGTCCCAATTAAAAACCCCCGTCAGGTGAGACTAAATAGGACCTTTGAAGATGTTCGGCGGCTATTGATCGTGGTGGTGTCTTATGTCAGCCAAAAGTCAATACCCACCTTCAGCGCTGAGATCGTTGAGCCTGGATATTAATTATCTCCTGGCAAAGACGTAGGAAATACTAGTCTAAATCGTTTAACAGGTTTCCAAAGGCTCGGTCTGGTCTGTCCTGCGAGTGCAGAGTTGTCATAGTCAAAGACACCTGGGCAGGTGCAGCCACGATCAGACGCTTCTCCACGGAGCTTGCTCCGTGCTCAAGAGAAACACGCCGTGCGGGGGGAGGCCGGGAAAGCGACACCCCTCAGTGTCGGCTGGCCAGGCGCACGGCCGTCACTGCCAGAAATGAGCGAAGCCTTCCCAGACCTTTCCCTCCTGTCTGTCTCATCCATGGAGCAAAAATCCTAAATGCCTGGGCTGGGCGTAAACCCCGCCTCTGGGGGCTGCCCCGGGGCACAGACGAAGACCGGAGTGACCCGGCACAGGAAACAGAGCAACATCCTCCCGGGGGAGCCAGAAAAAAACACCGGGGGCCCTGATCATAAGCCCCTCTTCCTGCTGACGGGCGGATGGAAGTTGTGAGAACCGAATGACAGTCGCACCTGTACCCGACACAGTCTGGCGCACGGCAGGTGGCTGAGACACGGTCGCTGTTGCTTTTCGGGAAGGGTTTCTCTCCTTTTGTTTCTTGCAGGTCTGACAAAATGTCACGAATAACCGGGAGCCACAAATATTCCAGGAGTTCGACGTCTCCAGGGGAAACAAGGCAATAAATATATAAAGGGGGAAAAAAAAGCCTGGCCGTTACGATAGTGGCAATGGCAGTGGCTGCCCTCTCTGGAGCTGTCACCGTGTCCCAGCCGGGCTTGGTGTGGACGTTGTGAATAAACCAACTCCCCCGTCTGCTCTGCCTGACGCGTCCTGCGATGACGCCACGTTCACAGAGAGGAAACCGAAGGTGACAGCGTTTAACCACTTCGGCACGAGCGTCGACTATAGCCGACAGCCACAGGTGAACGCGCACGGCCGAGCGGCGACGTTGGCGTTAACAACTAAACTTGACTTTTCTAATTTTTCATTTATCAAAATAAAACTGTGAACATTTAAAAATAACGTCATGAAAACATATATGCGTATGTTTCCCTATTCTGATATTTACGTGACGAGTAAAGCTGCCTGTGAGGTGAAACGAGCTCTTGGTGCTGTCATGCTTCCCTCGGCACACGGGAGAGCAGCGCGGACGCGCCGTCCATGCGCGGCACAGACCGCCGTGCGGACCGTGAGCGCCGGCTGTGGGCGAGGTGTCTCGGCCGGTGAGCGCCGCGCCGGAGCGGTTAAGTGACTTTACGGAGGCCACACACCCGGGGAGGGTGAAGACAGGGCTGCGTCGCAGCGGTGGGGCCCAGGCGTCCGCAGCCGCGTGGGAGACGACAGCCCCTGCTAGCATGCTGTTCAAAATAATAATAATAAAAAAAGACGACAGCCCCTCCCGGGGATGTGCCCGGTGTGCACAGGATCCGGCCGGGACGGCTGACACGGACACGCGACACACGCGGCCCAGCTGCCGTCCGTGAACAGCGTCAGGACCCACCGTGCTGAGACGTGAGTCCTTTCCTCCCCACAGAGATAAAGGTCGCCCCAGGGTGGCGTGTCCTCCTCTGTCACCTTCCCGAACGAGGGCATCTCTGTTCAGAAAACGGAGTGAAACGAGGATGAAAAATTGAAAGCAAGGCGAAGATGCGTTGTGACCTTTCTCCAGAAACGAGCTCTCCTGGCGTTGGCACGGCAACCAGGTGCCGGACCCTACACACAGCCTGCTGCTGCTCGGGGTCTTCAAAAATGTCACAGTCTAAACCCAGTGACTCCACGGCCGCCGAGAACCGGCAACCGGAGCCGGGACGGGGAGCCCGTGGGAGCCGGGGGGAGCGGGAGGCGGAGGGGGAGAGTTCTGATCCTCACCCGCTGGCTCCACGGCTGGGCACGGGCTGTGCCAGGTGTGTCGCCCGGCGGGGATGTCTCCCGGGTTCCCGTGTCAGCGTGGGCCTGGGGTCACGTCCGGGGCCCCGTGTCCCGCAGCCTGTGAGCGCTCGGGGTCGAACGTGCCGGCAGAGGCGAGCGCGGCGTTCCCGTGGGAGCCTCAGGGGACCAGGCGCGATGACGAACCTGCCACAGGACCGTCCCGGGGCCCGTCTTCCTGCTGCTTTTCCACAGGGAATTCCTGGGTTTAAAGCACTTGTGTCAATTACGGACGAGGAAATCCGTTGTCCGCAGGGGCTGACGGCATCTGCAGGCACACCTGCTGGAGATGGGATGGAGCCACACAGAGGGACTGTGCGGGGAGACCCTCTGTCCCCGAGCAGGGGTGCTGGTCTCCACCCGGGACTGCCCGCGCCACCGGGGTGAGCCGCCCACCCCCGGTCCCCCCAGTGTGTCTCACGCCCGCACCCACACCCACAGGGACAGGCGTGTGGCAGAGACGCCGGGACGTCCCGGCCAGCACCAATGTGGGGACAGGCCTGGTGGCCCTCAGAGAGGAGCCGGGCAACTGCGTGAGGGACACGGGACAGCAGGAGGACAGGAGGGACCAGCGGGGGCAGGTGAGCCCACCGGAGCCAGGAAACTCCCGAAGCAGCCGGGAGCACAGCCACGCTTCCCGGTGCCACGGATGCCCCGTGACTGGCCGTGTCCACTGTCCTCTCCCACGGACGCCCCATGACTGGCTGTGTCCACTGTCCTCTCCCAGGGACGCTCGTGACTGGCTGTGTCCACTGCCCTCTCCCATAGACACCCCGTGACTGGCCGTGTCCACTGTCCTCTCCCACGGACGCCCCATGACTGGCTGTGTCCACTGCCCTCTCCCACGAACGCCCCGTGACTGGCCGTGTCCACTGTCCTCTCCCACGGACGCCCCATGACTGGCCGGGTCCACTGTCTTCTCCCACGGACGCCCCGTGACTGGCTGGGATGGTCCCTGGGTCAAGCCACAGAAGATGAATTGAGACGATGACAGGCCTGGAGGCGCCCGGGGACGTGAGGGGATCAGAGACGAAAGCCGCCCGGGCCAGGCGGGAAACCACCTTGGGCGTGGGAGCCCACGCAGCCGATGACCCTCACACCCGACCGGTGGGAGGGCGATAAAGAACCAACGAGGAGGGGGTGGTACGTGGCCGCGTGGCACCAACACCGGCTGCGCGTGGGAGGGATCCGGGTCCAGGATCTCGTGGGCAGCTCCTCACGGACCCCGGGCTCGGCCCCTCCCGCGGGCGCCGTTGTTCCTGGCTGTCCTCGCTCTATGTGACACACCCCAAACGCTGCGAGTGACCACAAACCAACGAGTCACGGATTCCCACAGTTCTGTGGCCGGGACTGCAGGCAGGGCCCAGCCACGTGGCTCTTCCGCTCCTCGTGGCCTTGGCTGGGGCCACTCCCTCAGCTGCATCCCGCTGCTGGCTGCCCTGAGCCGGAAGGTTCTGGAAGGCTTTTGTGCACCTGCCACCATGGTTTCCAGGACGACTGAAAACAGCTCCTCTGATTCTCCACCCAGGGCTCCACGGTTGCCATGGAGACCATGTAGTGCCAAGAGGAGAACTGGGGAGAAGCGTCGGTCCATGGGTGACGGCTGCCACACGCCGACTCCTTCTCAGCCGGGACGGCTCTACCGCGGGGCGGCGTCTCCCCTGGAGGTGGAGCGGCCGGCACCCCAGGTCACGGGTCACCTGAGCGTGACCTCGAGACTTTGGTTGGCCTTGTCAAACCTCCACCCTGCGGCTCCCTCCCTCCTTCCCCCTTCTTCGTCTCAGCTGGGGAGGAAGGGCACTTAGGACTCTGTGAAAAACTCAGCGCTTTGTTGGCTAATCCCCAAGAGAGGACAGTCCAGCACCTTTCACTTCTAGGGGCTCCCGACGAGCGAGCGGGTGTCGGCTCCGCCCCAGAGCCCGACGCCCAAGTGCAGGTGGCAGAGTGAGGGTTCCACGTGAGTGACGGTGTCCGACTGACCCACTGAAACCCACGTGGGGGCCTGCGTCCACGAGGCCAGAGACTGGAGCCCCAGAGACCAGGCGGGGTGTGGGGAGCCCCTGCTCCCCGTGGGGCGTCCACTAGGCCCAGGACAGAGACTGGACCCTCAGAGACCAGGCGGGGCGTGGGAGCCCCTGCTCCCTGTGGGGTGTCCACGAGGCCCAGGACAGAGACTGGACCCCCAGAGACCAGGCGGGGCGTGGGGAGCCCCTGCTCCCCGTGGGGCGTCCACGAGGCCCAGGACAGAGACTGGAGCCCCAGAGACCAGGCGGGGTGTGGGGAGCCCCTGCTCCCTGTGGGGCATCCACGAGGCCCAGGACAGAGACTGGACCCCCAGAGACCAGGCGGGGCGTGGGAGCCCCTGCTCCCTGTGGGGCGTCCACTAGGCCCAGGACAGAGACTGGAGCCCCAGAGACCAGGCGGGGTGTGGGGAGCCCCTGCTCCCTGTGGGGCGTCCACTAGGCCCAGGACAGAGACTG